CAAAGAAATGCACTGTATAGTGAATGAGTTGCTATTATGAATAGCAATTGCATGAAATTTGAGGGGGGAACTTTATATCATCCATCTCTTAATTCTCAAAATATATGCACCAACCAATTTTTTTCTCTTTGAAAAAAGATTTAACTTTTGGCAGGATGAAATTCTCTACTGATGACTGAAAGACAGGGTTGGAAATATCATTGACCGTGGCACCCTTATGGACTCGAACAGAACAGGGCTTTGGATGCCTTTGTTTGTTCTATATTTAAAAAGAGGAATTTTGAAAGATAGAGAAGCAGTGTCTGATGTCCCAATGATGTCCCAAAGGAATGGAGCTTGCCTCTCGTACTATTCAACAACCACAGCAAACTACTGGGTCTTTTGAAGATTTGGAGTGGCATTCCATTTGTATGGTTATAACAGCCATCTAACCCCAAGGAAGCAATCAGAATTGTTTAACAAAACATACATTTGAAAATATTATTTAATTATTAATATTGAAATTAAACCCACATTGAATAGAAGTGCTGATGGGCAATGGTAGAGCAGAGTTGGGGTTCAACTTGTTTGAAATGGAGTTACAGTACCTCAGAAAGAAGAAATCCTCTGAAGTTCTCCTTGATATTCAGCTGTAACTGAATTCATAGTATTAGCTTCCCGAGCCGATCAGAATAAGCAGAATTATCTTATCTTAATTATGGATAATTTGATTACCATACCTTAGTTACATCCCATCTTGATTATTGAAAAATGCTGCAGTGAATTTACCTTTGGTATGAAATGCAACAGCTAACTATTGTGAGGCATGAAATCATATGATGTCTATTCCAAAAAAATTTGCACTAGCTGCCAGTTGTTTAGCAGACACAATTTAAGGGGTTAGCATTGAATTTTAAAGCCTAAACAGCTTATAGCCCAAGGGAACATCATCCTGTTATAAACCCGTTCAGCAATTATGATCTGCAAGAACATCTCTTTTGAAGATGCCCTCATTTCCTGAGGCTTATTATCTAGCATATGAAATAAGCCATCTATCGTGACACTCCCAAGCCTGTAGAAGCCTCATTCTCAGAATATGTTTTAGATCCCATTTTAACAGTCTTTAGAAGAGCAGCCAGCATGAATAAATACATTTTTTTTAAAAAAAAACTTAAATAGGTTAGCATGCAGGACTATGATAATTTTAGTATGAGGATGTAAAGCCTCTTTTAAGAAGCTGGATGATCAAATACGCAGGAACTGGTTGAATAAACTGTGGAAGACAACACTGGAAGTCAACTTAAGGTAGCTCACATGTGGCCATGATGTGCAGCATATACCAAAGTGAAACACTGTCCCCACTACTATTCTACATAGGGTTGAACCCTCTCAGTCAGATAGTCACAAGTCATGCTGTATATAGATAAAAGTTCAAGATGGAATCACCATCGAACACCTCCTCTACATGGATGACATCAAGCTATACGCTAAGATTATATGAGATATCAACTTGCTGATCCATCTGAAATGATCTCCAGTGAGGACATTGGGATATCATTCAGACTGCAGAGATGAGGCTGGAAGGTTGTCAAGAGAGGGAAGATAGTTAAGATTGATGTGGTAGAACAACTAGTGGGACATGTAGCAGACATATGACAAATTACAATATCTTGTATCTCACAGTCACATGGAAACCCTGAAGAGGAGGCAAGGAAGAAAGCAACATTTAAGTACTACCAAAGGATAAAACAGGTCCTGAAGGAAAGAATAAGATATGCCATTAGCACATATGCCCTGCAAGTTATTGGATATCTTGCTTATATAGTGAGCTGGCCAAAGGAGGAAATGGAAGCTGCAACGTATTGAGATTTCCAACTCAAGTCCAACATCCAGAGACTGTAGACCAGCTAGAAAGAGGGTGGACAACATTTTTAAAATTTTTTAAATTCTTTTTCTCTTTATCTCATCCAAAATAATGGCTTGCCTCTTCTTTGTGAGTTGAATATTGTAAACCTGAATTTGAAATGTAATTATGTACAAATGATGAATATGCAACTGCTAAAATGTATAAACCTCTGTTGAAATTTGAAACAGAAAAATGTGAAAGTCAGCTAAAATGTTGGTTATAATATACTGATGGAACAATGGGAATATATGTGGATGAAAGGACTGAAATTTACATTGTTATAATCTTAAAGATAATTTTTTACAAGATGATGTATACATGTTACTAGAGATGTAACATGTAGTACATCATTTTGTGCATAAAGGTTCTTCAAATACAGTTGGAAACATGAGCAACAAGAATGGAAATTTAATCATGCTTAGAAGATAGAAAATGTTGGTTTTAAATACATACACCAATTCACAGGATTTTAAAAATTAATGCGCAATTGAGACCAGTTCTTTTGGGACAAACAGACAAATAGTTGAAGAAAAATCTTTTTCATGGAGCTTTGTTTTTGTATGTGATAACTACAGTGAGATTTTTATATGCACAAAAATAAACGCTCCCACACCACATCAGTCCTATACACTTTGGTACAAATAAAGTATTGTTTTTAAAATAGTACCTTGACCATTCACTAAAAGCAAAAGATGAAAAGTGCTTCGGTAATTCTCACTCAACAATATATTTTCTAATTAGGGAAAACTTAAATTTCAAAGTGTTAGGGTTCAAATTATTCTACATACCGGCCATAAAAACATCAATATCAAATTCAACACTGGAGGGGCATAGTGGTTCTGTTTGTCCTCCCTCCTTCCCTCCCTCCCTCCCTCCCTCTCTGTCTCACTGAAAGATAGCACAGACATATGGCATACATGCACATACATATACATAACAAGCCATGAATAAATGAATTCTTTTCCTTAATCAAACCATTGGAACTTTGTATGGATATTTCTCAGTATTTTTAAAGCATATGTTCCTTAACAGACAACAATCCTACCCCCAATTTATTAGAAACAAAGCCCCAGTGAATAGGCCGACAATTTCTTATGTCTAGAGAACTATGTCCTCTGTTCAATCTGAGGAGATTTATTTCCAAATAAGTGTGTATACGAGTCTAGTATTTATTAGACAACCTGTGCTACCATTTTCCTATCTAAACAGAGAAACAGAATGCTCAGAGAGGGCAAAATAGCAATGAGAAAAGAATTGTCTTTTATCTTTTGCAAAATGGTGCTGGTCTTGCTTGCTTGCCAAGACAGAAGAATATTGTAACAGTAAAAATCTTCATGACCTTTCAGATCAGGGATGTTAACAGGAAAAAGTCATGCAAATAAACAGATAAGGTCAAGTGAAATAGTTAAATGCCTATCACAATCATTTAATATTCTGAACTAGAACTGTGGAAGATCAGCAAGGAGTTAGTGATGTGAGCCTTTAAGCCTTTTTATATACAAAAAATTCCTGTTCAAAATGGATTATTTAGACAGCTGAAACAATGTCTGCATTTCTCCACATATGCATTGAAAAGAAGTTATTTGTGAGCTTTACGGATTGCATCATTGTTATTCTTAATCACTCTTGCTTTCTCCTTCCCTGTATCCCTTCTTGTAGCCAGTAAGTAATGAATATACCATTAATCGAACACCTGCCCAACAAATTAAAAAAATATATTTTATATTTTTGATAGCACTTAATTTATATTGTTGTATGCGTAGCTTGGAAGTTTGGATAATGATGTTTTATATCTCATTATGAAATTCTCAGGATTATTAATATGACTTTAAAACAGTTGCTTTCAGGAAGAAGTTATAAACTTGGTTATTAGCCTTAGTCACAGCTATGTTGTATGCAATGTTCTGTGCTAAGTAAGACAGTACTATCTGGCTAACATGCCAAGCAGACAACTAACACCCAGTTTTACCCAAAGCATGCCCAATAAATTCGTGCTATTCCACGCAAGCTAGAACTGCTAACAAAGAGACCACATTTTCAACAGAAGCCATGTTTAAGGGCAAGTGTAAAAGCCTGGAAAACTCTTTAGATTAAAAGGCCAGTATGTAAAAGGTATGTAAAGGCCAGCCGGAAAAAAATTCCTTTCCCTTTCTTTATTTTCTTGTACACAAGGAATATAATTGAATACAATTGAAAAGTCCATCCATGCACCAGTTTCTCATTGGTATTTTCCAGGGATCGTGAAGGAAGATTGATTTAAGGCAAGTTGATTGCAGTTAATGGTAATAAGCTTTGTAAATAAGAACAAATAGAAGATAATGCAAATGGAGAACAATAAGAGGTAAACAGAGATAAAGCTTTCAACTATAATTGATAATAAGGCATAAGCCTATTTGTTGGATGCTTATGTGGGAATAAATCACATTGAATTAAAAGAAGCTTATTTCTAAAGAGACATACATAAGATAATATAGTAATACTAAACTTTCTCTAGATTTTGTCCAATGGTCAATGACATTTTTAAATACACATTAGTCATGTAGAATTTAAACAAATAACTAAGAAAAAAAGCTAAAACAGTGGGCTGAACCATATTTAAGCCTATTTTGTTCATTTATAGAAGGTCTCTTATAGATTTGTCCCCTTTTATTGCAACACTTCTGTATCTTACCTTCCTTTCTTAAGCCTATGTATGAGTTGGTACTTCAGGGACACAACTGCAAACATACTCTTCAATGTTTCAATAGAGTAGATTCTTGGGAAAATGGAACCATACAGCTGTCTTCCAGTTGAGTGTATACTGATAATATAGATATAGATACAGTCTAAGGACATCTTGAACACAGAACTTTAATTTAGGAGGGTTTTGGGTTGACACTACTACACCCGTCATTGTGTTGTTGAGTAATGATTGTTAGAGGCATAGCATCAATGTTAACTATGTTAGTTGGTGCTCTTAAACCCCTGTTTCTGAGGAAGGACTGCAACTGCTTATTTCTATCACTAGTGGCTGACTATACTGTTTATTGCTTGTCTGTAGTGTGACAACACAAGCTGATTCTAAGAAGCTGGAAGGGCTGCCATTTGGATCATCCAAGAGCAACAATATGGGTTTTTACTTCTTCTTGTGCTTCTTGGTTAATTGCCCTCTTTCAAACTGCAGGCTCACATGGTTGTCTGTGCCTTTTTCCTTTGGGTGGATCTCCTGAGAGAACTGCTGGACTGCCTGCTGAATGGCCATATGCACAATCAATTTGCTGGCATTCTGCAGTTTTGTTTCTTCCTGTCCGGTTCCAGATTTATCCCCTGTCAGAAAAAAAAGATTACTTTAACTAAAAATTATATATAAATATATCAATATATATTACTTTAAATTATCAATGAGGGATAAGTGCCACTCTAAAGTTTTCATTGGCTGGAAACTTACAGACATAGTCATTGATTATTGGTCCAGCTGTTTACCATTCACCAAGAATTAATGCTTTCCTTCTCATGCCTGCTATTTGTGATCTTTTATCTGGAAATGCAATTGCATGTCTTGGTTATGGCTAGTACTGGATGTGATGACCCAGAGTGTAACACAAATGTAACAAACGTAAATAAATGTCCTTTAATGCCTCCAACTTGGCCCCATTGTTCAATAATACTCAGTTGGAGATACAACGTACTCAAAAATAGCCTTCAAAAGAAAGCATTTAATGAGCAGAAAGAGGTGAAATAAAAAAAACCAAACAAACTACAATGACAAAATTTCCACTACGGAACAGGAGAAGTATTTACCAAATTCAAGGAGATAACAAGGCCCAGTCTGTTGGAAGGACGCCAACCAAGATAACTTCAGACCAAAATAAAACACGCTTTGTTTCTGGCAATCTTACGGTTTTAACCGTCTCACTCTGCCCCCAGCTGCAACCAATTAGGAGGATCATTGCTGCTTCCTCTCTCGCAAGCAAAGTTGTTGCCTTCTCCGTTCCTCCCTGCGTGTCCTAGGATGCAGAGGGGATGGGCCTAGTTCTGGGATGGGCCTCTGCCCTTCCCCAGCCTCCTCCACAAACTCCGGATCCACACCTCCATTCCCTGTTGGCTGTTCCTCCTCTCTCTCAGAGTCCGACTCTACCAAGAGCATGACACTGGATTTTCTTAGTCCATCATCACTGACAGGCTATAGAACTTTTATTAGAGTACCCTAAACAAGTGTTTCTCAATCAGTTTGGTCTAGCAGTTAAGGTATCAGACTAGAAAGAATCTTTGATTTGTGTCATAGTTATTCCATTTTTAATACTCTTTTTGTATTGTTTGGTGGCTCAGAGCATGTCTTACCATTAAGCTCACCATTCATCCTCTACATCAGTCCAACTTTAAAACAGATGCCCTTCACCTTCTCCAGTCTTTCAGGAGAAGTCTGTTTTCAGATTTGAGCTGCTCACTTTTTCATTCTAGTCTCCTTGAACTGGAAGCGAGTCTCCATTTTTTCCTCCTTTCTTTTATACAGAGAAGACCAAGACAGAAAGGAGCCAGGGTGCACAGTGGTTGGAATGTAGTATTGCAGACTAACTCTTCCCACTGCCTGGAATTTGAACCTGATCGACTCAAGGTTGATTCAGCCTCCCATACTTCCAGAGTCGGTAAAATGAGGAACCAGATTGTTGGGGGTAATATGCTGACTCCGTAAACTTCTTATACAGGGCTGTATAAGCCCTATGAAGCAGTATATAAGCCTATGGACTAAATGCTAAGAAAATGTAACCTTCTGACGTTTTAGTAGCACAACTATTTGGCATCTCTTATTTCATGGGTATTTCATATCACTCTCCTCCCAAATTCAATACACTTTTGACAGTATAGTATGTTCAAAAAAGCTTTATGCAATAGATCTACTTGAGCTATGGTTACTCTTTTTTTCTTCCAACTATCACTGCCACCTTTCTATTTCTTTGAACTTACTACTGTTCCATGAAATCCTGCTTAAGGAAAAGAGGTAAGTTTTCAGACTCTTCAAAGCCTCTCTTTCTTTCTTATAGTCTTTGAGGGCTGAATCATTTTTTTCAATATCTTTTAACTACCAAAAAGGTTTGACTACAGGGCTGCGATTCAAATTCAAGTTCTGTGGGCATGGCTTAGTTGGTGGGTGTGGCTTGGTGGTCATGTGACTGGCTGGGTGTAGCCAACTCAACATCACTCACATTGAGGCACGCATCTCCTTGCCTGGCCTCTCATGACTGTGGGGATGCTGCAACAGTCGTAAGTGCGAAAAATGGTCATAAGTCACTTTTTTCAGTGCCATTGTAACTTTGAATGGTCACTCCACACAAGCAAAGTATCAGCAAAGGAGGGGGGAAAAACTCCAGAGAAGTTCCTGAGATAGGAAGTCTAGTCCTGCCAAGAATGTAATAAGGGTTAGCGGAGAGGCAGTTTCTGTAAGCAACACCAGAATGTTTCCTTCCTGCCTTCCTTACAGGATTAGGCCAGTAATTTCTTCTAACAACCAGTCCTCCGAAGTGCTTAGAATGTTAACAACCGGTTCCAGTGAATAGGTGCGAACCTGTAGAATCCCACCCCTGTTTGACTACCTTTTTTCATATGGTTCTCCATTATTGTCTCAGAGAGACTAAAGTAATTGAGAGCCTGAGTCAGCACTGAAATATGCCAGTCAAATTCTAACTAAAAGACTTGCTGCCTGCACTTTGTATTTTGAATTTGTTAATTACCCCAATTTCAATTGTATTTTGCAATTTCCCAAGAATCATTTGCATATTTTGTCTTTGGGGAAACTGCCTTTAGGACAGTGGTGGCTAACCTTTTTGGGCTCCTGTGACGAAAATTATGTGCATGCTTACGCACATGTACTCCCCTGCCAGCACCCAGAAGGCAATGCACGTGGGCCCCCCACGCCCCCTGCGCTTGTGTGCATGACCCCCTGTGCATGTGCATGTCTCTCCACATGTGCATGACACCTGTGCACCACGTATCTCTGCGCATGAGTGCGCATCTCCCGTGTCTCTGCCCCCCATGCATGTGTGCCAGATACCCGACAATTACCTGTCGGGTGGCCAGCGCACGCACTTGCGCAATAGACCTGCTCTGGGCGAGGGCTTGTGTGCCGGCAGTAAAGGCTCTGCGTGTAACTTTCAGCACGCGTGCCATAGGTTCACCATCACAGCTTTAGGAGATCCAGCAGCCCAACTTCACCTCATTTTCAGATTGCACTGTCAAAATGTAACTAACAGAATGGTAAATTTTGGTAGGAAGACTTTAGGGATTATTCTGAGGACTGAATTGTTTTAGGGTAGAAGTGAGAGCAATGTCTTTCATGGCCTTTCATTCCTAACCTAACAGTCCCAACTTGGGGGGAAAGTAGGCTTAAAGAATACAGCCCAGCCTATCTGGTTGTGTCATAGCATCGGTTGAGAGTTTCCAGAAGCCATTTAGATTAGAAGGCTCCACTGCTTAAAGAGTTGGCAACAGTGGTAGCCTTTGAGTATTCAATGAACTTATATTTAAGACTGGACTTTAATCTTGATATCTTTTTTTCAGAGCAATTCTAATTACCACTCAAAACCAGTATTTTAAATATGTCATATTGTGAAAATCTGATTTTGAAGGGGGGAGGGAGGTATATGCATTTCTAAAGTAATAGTTTAGTATAGACCCTTGAGAAATAAACCAAAATGTTTTTGGCAGATTTACTGTATGTTTTTCTATTTTGAGTCTCTATTTCTGAATGCATTAAAAAAAGGAAAATTGGGGAAATATATTTATTGTTACAGATATTGAAGTTGTGTGCAAAGGCCCTGCAAAGAAAGCTATATTGCATTTTTAGTACAATTAACAATTAAGTGTGCAGAAAGGTCTGTGATGATTCATTTAAATTTCTAAAAATGGGATTCTTTTATTAGCAATATTGATTGCTTATGACCTGCAAAGGATTTTATACTATTTAGAGCACTCATTGAATTTAATTGCTTCTACAGGTTTTACTCCTTGCTATTGTTGTTCTTTGACTAAAGATAAACTTGTACAATGAATTGGGCAGATGCTTCTAATAATTTTCACGTAGGTGTCAACTTACAAATCAGGGTGATGGAAAAACAAATCATTGCAACAGCATGACACAAGACTTGGTTGTTTGTTCTTATGTCCTGATGTCAGATCCAAGTGTGTATGCTAAGAGGCTTGTGTTGTGATGTCATGATGTTTCACCACATGCTTTGCCTGCTCCTGCAGATGCTTATGAACTTTGCTAAATGGCTGAATGCTCTAAACAAGTGGTCGCCCACCAGTGGGCCGCGAGAAAATTTTGGTGGGCTGCAGAGAAATCTCACCCCCAGAACACCCCCACAAAGCAATTAATCCAGGCTGCGCAGAAACACAAGGCTGCGCTGCCCACATGACCTGCGGGAACCCTCCCCGCCCACTCGCTCCTTACCTGATAAACTTGCCTGCTAAATTGTTATTTTTCCTTTTTCCGACCATCATCTGTTCTGCTGTGCTGGGAGTTTAGATTAGCTAGGAAGCAGGAAATGGTTGGATTTCTTGCTTTCTAGCTAGTCTTTAGATCTTCGGTTCAGCACAGGCGAACCTCCCTTAGGACTGAAGGTTTGTTTGCAAGCAAATTCAGTGCAGACTCATGGCAAACAAATTTGAGAGACTGAGCTAGCTGATGGCAGATAGATAGATCACTGAATGATTCTGTGAGCAACTCAATCTGCCTGCTTTGCCTGATTTTGGGTA